TTCCAAAATTAACCTGGATGGGCACAGGAACCTTCCAAAATTAACCTTGATGGGCACCTGAACCCCCCCAGACTCCCCCAGTTAGCAGTGGAGAGCACCTGAATCCCCCAAAAATCAAATCTTAGGAAGCACCCGAACCTTCCAAAATTAACCTTGATGGGTACCTGAACCCCCCAAAATTAACCTTGGGAGCACATAAACTCTCCAAATTAACTGAGGGCGGGGGCACCTGAACCCCCAAAATCAAACCTTGGGGGTGGGGATTACCTGAACACTCCTCCCCCCCAAAAAAGGAGGGAGGGAGGGAAGGAAGGAGGGGAAGTTTAGCACATAATATTACAGCTCTGTTACAAAACCCAGTCACAAAACTTCCCTCTTTGATACACCTTTGCTTCCAAATATCCTTTCCCCAAATGATGAAGTTTTACAGACTGCAAAACCATCAAAAACTTGTCAAAATGGATCTCAATTCAACTCTCTATAAAATTTTAATGACTGTGCTCCTGTTAACTAAATATTCGAAACAGAAAAATAGCCCGTACTACATTTGCTCTTTTTAAACAATAAATAAGCAACTTTTTGTGTTTGTTTGGGTTTTTTTTAAACAAGAATGAAATATAAACTTTACACATCCAAAATACAATATACAACTTATTTCCAAAAGGACTTAGTGATGACAGAAACAGCAAAACGAGGTGATGAGCAGAAGTTTTCCTACAGACAACAGGTCACGCTGCTCGTCACAGGTTTTTCTTCAAGTTCCACGGTTCCCTTATGGATTTTCCTACTTGGAGCACGAGTTGGGGCTCCATTGTTTGAGTGGATGATGAGAGGAGAGTCTGGTGGAATCAAACACTAAGATTTGGTGGTGCTCCCAAATTTGTTACCTCTTAAGACTGACGAGTGTGGATCTCCCCAGGCCACTGTGTTGAACTCTAATTTAGGCTGATGTGATAAGGCTGCAGGAAGATTTTTAGACCTAAGCCATATTTTTATCCAACTGAAAATGTTCTGTATCCCCTTCCAAAAGAACAAGGTGGATGGACTGTCTCCTTAAGACCACAACAGAAATGAACAATATATACAAACGAAGTCGCATTCGCTTCCTACGCAGAAAACAAGAGAGACTTCCCGTAAAAAGGATTTCTTTCGTTCTCAAACTTCACTTAGAAACTCAGCTTAACACACAGTTCGTTCTGGAACAGCAGTAACAAAACACTTGGAGGTGTCCCAGGGTTTCCCTGCCCTTGTTCATGTGGTGTTGAGTTGGCTTTGTCTTTCGGTCTCGGCTTTCCTCTCCTGCCGGTGGGTCACTGCAGCCCAGAAGGTGATTTTTTTCAGCACTTCCTGCAAAAGTTTGGATGGCAGGCAGGGAATCTGGTTCCTCAAGAGAGCTGCGTTCTTCCCAATGCAGTCAAGACACAGCCTGAAGAAGGAAAACAGGAAAAAAACCCCCAACTTTAAGTAAATGGTCTGTAATCTGAAGACCAAGTGGCAACTTATTAAAGTTGGTGTTGTGCGTTAATTACGGACCTTGTGGGTGCACGTGCAGGAGAATTACACACCACCAGGGATTAAACTGCTGTGGATCATCACACATGGCATGGTTCAAATATTTACTGAGGAGGTAATTTGGTATTTTACCTGCCTGTGCAGGAGCACGTGGCTAAAAATCACCCTTGGAGCAGCTGGGTCTGGTGGAAGGTGTCCCTGCCCACGGCAAGGGGTGGAACTGGATTGTCCTTAAAGTCCCTCCCAACCCAAACCAGTCTGGGATTCAGAGATTCTGTAACCACAGCTCACCTGAGGAGGGAATAAGGCTGAGTCTGAAATATCAACAAGTCACTGCAGTGACCCTGATCAAGAGAAAAAAAAGGAACCATTAAAATGGCAAACAGTTTATCTCTAGATTAATGTCACATTAATTACCACATGCATGATTTAAAACTGATAATACCTAAATAACTATTTATGAAGCATCTGAACTACAAATCCCTTTTTATTCCAGCAGTCAAGAAAGCTTCAGGTGGGGATTCCTTGGTGGTGGTTTTCAGTTACCAATTTGAGCCAACATCTCAATCTGTTTGTTTGTTGTTGTTGTTGGGGTTTTTTTTAATTTAAATCCCATCTATAAATACATTAATTGATTTGCTCAGAGAGGTTGTGGACTCCCCTGGATCCCTGGAAGTGTCCAAGGCCAGGTTGGACAGGGCTTGGAGCAACCTGGGCTAGTGGAAGGTGTCCCTGCCCATGGCAGGGGGTGGAACTGGGTGAGCTTTAAGGTCCCTTCCAACCCAAACCATTTTATGATTCCACCATTTTATATCAATTATAATTATCCTAATGATAGGATTTATTATGCAGTTTACTGACTGTGTCCATGAAAAGCAGGTCGTCTTTGCTCCCACCAAACACCATCACTTCTCCTTCTTTTCCAAGGCAGGCTGTGTGCCAGAGTCTGGAAATAAAACCATAAATGCAATTAGTGCCCAAGGAACAACATCAGTTGTGTGTTATCAGCAAGACAAAGACATTATTTCAGAGGTAAAAAATAGTAGCTTAAAATATATTACTTGTTAATTTAACAATATAAAAGGAGAGAGCAATGTCACTATCCATCTCATGAGAATTATTTGCATACAGACCAATATATTTTGTCATTATTTGACTCTTCTGTACTCTGGTTATATAAACTTTGTCTTATTTATCACTACATTGGAAATTTTTTAGACAAAAACATAACCCTGCAAACAAAGCTTTGGCCAAGGGTGGCTTTTCTTTTCCTTTTTGAATTTTCCACTATTTCTTTGCTTCAGAAGTGCAATTCTAGTGGCTTTCAGTCTGTGGGGTTCTCAGTACTGACTTGGATCCCTGAGCACTAGGAACACCAGTTACCCTGTTTCAGTCTTACACTTGCCCCAGGAACTGATTCCTGGGGATCAGTCCCTGTGGGTCAGTCACACCACATCAGGTTTTGTGTGGTGCCTATAAAAATACACGACATAAAAAGAGACCCCCACAAAACCACAACCTGATTTTATAATCAAAGATTCTGCAGCCACGCCTTGCTAGATTTATTTTTTATTATTTGCAGATCAAACCCTCTAATTTTTCTGCTGGTCTACCACCAGTGAATGGCACAAGATGATCCCCACAGAGCTCTGGCCCTTTAGAGCTACAGAACCAAAATAAAATGCCCCACTAAATTTTCATGCAAACGTTCCCGCTTTCTTACTCCATTCACATCCTTAGGCTAAACTGTATCCCACTTTTTCCCTTCCTCCTACCTGTGGATAGATCTGTCTCTGCCTGATCTGCATTAGGAAAACTCTGGCCTGGACTTCGTCACGAAGAACAGTGGGAAGCCTTTCCTGCCTGGGCTCTGGTGACATCCTATCTCGCAACCTGAGGCTTTTCCTACAGCCTGACAAGAGTTTCTGTCCTCCCACGGCTGCTCTAACTTATCACCTAAACATTCTGACAGAGCACGTTATTGAGATCACACACATCCTTCAGACACAGCTCTTCCAGCTACAACAACAGCATGAAAACACTGGGAATCCAGGAGTTACACAGGAGTCTGTTGTCTGTTTTAACCCAGCGTGCAAAACGTTGGCTGAAGTGCAACTGATGGACAGAAAAGAAGAACAGTGTTTTCTACCAATACAGAATCACCTGGGAAGACAATTTTTTTTTTTAGAAAGTACTAAAAATGAAGGTTGAAGGAAATTATTCTTTACAGAATTTAGGGAGGGCATCAAACTTGCAGAAGCACCTGGAACAGACATTAATGAATGTGTGATATTCTGGGTATTATTAGAAAATAACAGAAATATTTATAAAAGAAGTACATGTATAAGGATTATTGCCCCTGTATTTTAAGTCAGAGCAGCAACTGAACTGACTCAAACCTTTTCCAGCTGCAGAGATCCTGCAGTAATCCTGGATACAATCATGATACAAGGAAGTACTTC